GTCTTTACGACCCGGTAACTTGGACGTTAGGACCTCCACCTGCTGACCCGGACAATCTTGGAAACGTGTCTGTCTCTCATTTATCCGCTGTCTTTGGTCTTCCCGAGGTTGTTTCCGAGGCTATCGCATATTTCGCCGATGATATACCAGAAGGGTTCCGCGAAGCCTGGTTGGACTACTGCTACTACTATCATGCGACAGCGGCGGAGCAAAAGTCCCGTTACGGGGTAAGCTTTGGTAGCCAAAGCTTATACCAAGCGCACTCCCGACTAGCAGCATTTGCGGCGCATGAGATGCAGAATACAACTCTTGCACTTCGAGCTTGGAAAGACTTTTACGCAAGCGATGGACTTGCACAGGACGCTGCATGGAACACTATTCATGTGAATGGGAGTGCCGTTTTGGTGTCCGTCGATGAGGCCGCATGGCTCGCAACTAACGATGCCGCGCAGTATGGTTTGGCTGTTATTGAAAATATGGCATATATTTCGGATTCGCTTGATGACTATCAACCATAAGCTCTGCTAGTGTATATACAAGAGCAATAAGACTTTGTACCACACCAATATCAATCAATCGATCAATCAAATCTCAATTAACCTGTTGCGGTCTAACTAGTGTCGTATGACTATGCAGGTGCTTCATCCGACTTAAGCAAAAACAGCTGGGATCATATGATGTTCCAAAAAGAAAACAGACGCTGGTTTGAAAAGAGTGTGGAAATCAGCCCATAAACCCATTCAAAACCCACCCCGAACCGTAAACATATGAGATTGATACAAATGAATGCCATGGAGTGCACCCTCCATATTTCAACTACTTATCTTTCTTACTCTCCCATCCTGGTTTCTGCATCCTACCTGCCTCAATTTTAATTGATGGTGTTGTTGTGCTGGCCCGTTGGTTGGCATGGCCGTCGACTCTGGCTGAATTTCTCGTTTCACAGCATCCTTCGTCGTCATTGGCTAATACCCATCGTCTTCCACACCTTAGGTCCATGGCCGCGAGGCCTATTGGTTCGTCGTCTTCCTGAGTTCAACACATCGGAATTGCTGGAGGAGACCTGTCTGGTGGATGAATTTAGCGACGATCATCAAAATTCCAGAGCAACATGTGAGTGAAAGTTGCAGTGAGCCCCATATTAAGGTTGTCTATACCATAGTCCGCGCTGCATCCAGGGGTCGAGAACGGATTCCCTTCTCAGGCCCCAACAACTAAGCTTAATTAGGCTAGAGAAAGCCCCTTGCTGGGGCCTTAAGGCATTGTGATTGGCTGTGAGAGCGATCGGAAACTAGGCGATCAAAACTAGGCGATCCGGAGTTGGCTCTCGAGTGGATCGCTAGGAAAGAGTGCGTATGTGTCTTGAGGGGAGTCTGTTGTCAAAATCCATCAACTGCCAAGGATAGGATGTTTAAAACTTGAAGAAGTGCCTTCAACCAAGTCTACTAACAAAATACTAACGCACGAGGATTCGCTATGATATTGACAGCTGAGATGACATATACTGAAAGGAATCTCGTATGGGCTTCTAAGGAGGCGCGGCATAAGAAAACGTATGCATCGGTGGATTAGTGATAGTTGCCCTTTCGATCTAGCCCCCTGGCGTTAATGATTGTGTACGCGTATGTGTGTACTGAGGACAGGTCCGCGGGTTTGCTACTCCCCAGGTCCAAGCAATTGCAACGTCACTACGGGGAGTAATGGCCTAGCTACGAAGGGCCCTTAACACTGGATGCCTGTACTTTGTCTGACGAGACAGCGGGCGCGTATCCATCCGTAAATTAAACATTACGGTCCTCTTTCAGTGCAACCTTGATCAACGAAAAATGGAAAAAAGAATATATGGATATATACGCAAAATCTAAAAATATCTCAATCATGATCTGGGGAGCAATATTTGGTGGTGGCTGTACTGATTTATTTAAAATGAATCGGGATCTGAGTTCAAAGCACAATGGCTACTTAAGATGGTTATATCTTGAGGCTCTTAGAGCTAATTTACCTCAAATTACAACTGAAGGTCGGGTATTTATACACGATAATGTCCCTATTTATACAGCCTATGATGTTTGAAATTAGTTGTGTGATAATAATATAAACACAATGGATTGGCCGCCCTATTCACCCGATTTAAACCCCATTAAACATACGTAGGCTAAGCTCAAGGAAATGATCTATCGCCTAGATCCAACACTGGAGCAATTTGATAGTACTGATTCTGAGTTAATTAATCATTTTGAGGAGTTAATTCATGCATCATGGTGTATGCTAGGGCAAGATTACTTTGATCGCTTGATTGATAGTATAACGCGTCGTGTAGCGGCTGTTATTAAGGCAGGGGGATGGTACACTAAATATTAAATGTATAGGGGGGGGTATATTGACCAATTTGCTACTGCGTGCTATTTTTTATATATTTTTAATGGTTGTTTTTGGTGCTGTTATTGCTATATTACTTTTGCATGTTGAATTTGATGCCATTCGCAATATTTCTATTGGTACTTAATAAAAAGTGGGGCCTGACTGCCTATCACCGGGAAAATTTGTCCCGCGACTGTATATATCCTCCAAAAATGGCTAGGTGGGGCTGGCAAAGGGCTCCAAGATATTGTATCGATGTCAACTGCAGAGGCAATGCGTGGTGTGCGGGAGGAGAGTACGCTCAGAGTCGCCGAGGGATTCAGATGGGCCTAGTGTTTCGCAGGGCCATATATCGTAGTGACACGGCTCAAATATCGCTGATAGTGACTTTGATGTTGTTCCTTGGGGTACTGAGACGGCTGGTACGGTACATCGAGTTTCTTGGAGACAAGTTTTGGGATGATCGCATAGGGAGTTTCTTTATTCACCGCCTTAATTGCTGGTCTGGCAGGCGGGACGGGATGATCACCCGGATATGAACCGGCAAGACGAGATGACCGGGAAAATATCACAGCATGAGTGCTTGCTTGGTATTTTCGAGCTTTGTGATATTCAGAGGAGATTCACATGGAAATATTCAACACGACACTCAGAAATTTCACATCTGTCCATCGTTTCCTGCTTGCTCGCCTTCTATTTGAGGTCGGCTCTATCATGGTAATCACCGGGAAATATATTTCCGGAACCAGTGTCATTTGCAGGACTCAGGTATACAACGGTTTTCCTTTTTTCTTTTTCTTTTTCTTTTTTTTTTTTTTTTTTTTGCAGAATAACATTTGAGAGTAATATGTTAGACATGAAGCAGGAAAAGACAAGATCCCAACAACATTATATTAAAACCAGGCTGGTCAATGTGGGCGTCAAATATTCGTCACCGGAGTGAGCAATTGTCATCGTTGAGAACAAGTTAAATGAGGCCGCAGAATTTCTTCTCGTGCCAGACGTTGAAAAAATAGCCAAAATGTATTTTAGCTGGTAGAAACTCATGTTTATGAAAGTTGACACGACGCGTTGTCGGTGTTTTGATCTGTGGTAGCTGCGTCGCGAACGTTGAAACGACGTTGAAACCCTGGAATAAGAGTTCAGAATAGAGTTTTATCGAGATAAAACTGCGGCTTCAATTAAAGTAGCATGTAATCAATGGTGAAACAGTTTAACAGGCCACGATATGAGGGCCAACTCGCTCGGACCCTCGATTACAGTTGCGCGAACCTCAAATTACTCAGTGATGGATCGTGGATGCCTGTATGTGGTATCTTAGCACTCATTTAAATATGTAAAACTTGTAGCATCCAGGGCTACGGCCTTAATTCCTACAGTACTCCCCGTAACAGACCCGATGTAACTATGTACTCGGATGCTTCGGGTCTTGAAGACAATCTAGGCGCAGCCGTGATCGCACTGGATGAAAATCAGGAGTTACTGGAATCTGAAAAATTCAAGTGTAGCTGATGTATAGTTGGTGAGTTCAAGGGCAGAGCTGATAGGCCTCTCCTACGCGATCAACGGGGTATTCAGGCTTGCTCATCAGCACGAAAGCAGAGCTTTCGAACGTCCACTGAAGGCGACGATCTTGTGTGACGTCAAGTCAGCGCTACAATCAACCAGAAACTCCAGGAGCCGGATTGTCCAAGCAGCAAATATCGCGCTTCGTCTCCTATGGCTACGTACCAGGACACTGTGATGACCCAGGGGACGACGCGGCAGACCGACTAGCTCGGGAAGCTGTGCGTTCAGGCAAGACCCCATACCTTCCGGTCGTTGCTGACAAGGGAAAAGCGTATATTCACGGTAAGATCCGCGCACAGTGGGAGAAAGAGTGCAATCAATTGTCTCAGAAAAGGGGGTGTGTAGAATACGCGCCAATTGACGAATTGAGCATTTCTTTTCCGTCTGAAAAGCGCGGATAGCTAATAAGATCCTACTGCTCTATACGTTTTTGAGAGCTTTTAGGTGTATTGGTGGCACAGTGGGTGGTTGAAGATGAAGGTAGTGAAAATGACGCGAAACTAACGCGGGGTGTTCCACTCGCTTACATGTTCCACATAAAAAATCAGCAACTTAGATACTTTCATCAAAGACTATCTTAGATCCCTCACCTGACCAACGCTCAACGTAATTCATTACCTCAGCGTAGCGACCATATACAATCTCGCGTCTTGTGCTGTGCTCTTCGGTGCTCAACGTTCCATTTTTGGCATCAAGACGAAAGCTTCTCACCGCAGCTTTAACCGCAGCGATATTCTTTGGACGCTGGGCAATTACTGGGGGTGAGAGCAGAGGTTTGCGTGTCAATTTGGTTAGTCGATACGTGTCCCTCAAATTGGCGAAGAAAGACCAGGGATCCTTTAGATCTTAAATCAACTCTGCGCTTATCCAATCTTCTCAATATCAAGCCGGATGGAAGAAATACGATAACTTTCTGGGGTATGCATACCGTGTCTTGCCTTAGGGTTCCGACTCTCCCAAACTTCCTGGAGTCATGTTTCTTGCTATAATCAGTACCTCCGAAGACATGAGAGAAGTTGAGAGCTTCTGATACTATAAAATCCAAGGAATTGGAAATGTGACTATATGTAATGCTCAGTGATGCAGAGATCCTGCTCTGCGATGAGCCCACCACAGGTATGCGCTGAGAACACACCTCAGGCTCTGTTTCTCCTAGATGTACTAAACAATCATGTATTATAGGACACGATGCAGCGACAGCCCTTCAAGTTATGAAAGTACTGAAGGAGCTTGCTCAAAATGGACTAACTGTGGTTATATCCATACATGCGCCAAGATCTGACATGTGGCACCTCTTCGACCACATCGCACTCCTCTCTCGAAGATCTGTTTTGTACAGCGGATTAAGGGAGGTGTCAACCTCGTATTTTCGCCGTTGTGGATATGAAATGCCATCATTGGTGAGCCCTGCGGAATATCTGGTAGACCTTGCGGCTTTGGATACGAGAACAAGCCAATGTGAACATGATTCTACTGCTCGGTTGGAATACCTTAGGTCACATTGGGCTTCAAAACACCCTTCCCACCAGTCAGAGAAACCACCCACATATACAACCTCCGCACTCAGCGGGGTCTCTGAGCGCAATACAAGTCAACCACCAACCCTTATGAGGGAACTCCGCGTTTTGACAGCACGCAACATGAAAATGTTCATTCGTGACCCCAAAGCACTCGCCGGGGCTTGGGGTGGAGCTATGGCCATGGCTGTTGTCAACGGATGGGTTTTCATGAATATGGATAGAAGCGAGGAGGGGATTCGATCCCTTGAAGGGAGTTTGTGGTATGCGACCGAACTCTACGGGTATTTAATTTTTCTCACTGCGCTCGTGGAAATCAAATTGTTCGATCATGAGAGGCAGGATGGCATCACTAGTGCTGCGGGATTCCTCCTGAGCAGGAGAGCTTCAAAACTGCTCCTGGAGGACCTGACAATTCCTCCGTGCTTCACATTTATCTATTACTTCTTTGCTGGATATAAACATACAGCCCGTCAATTTTTCATATTTCTAGTGACGATGTTCTTAAGTCATTTCAACGCCATATTGTTTGCGGGTCTCTCCACTGCAATATCTCTTCACTTTCTTCTTGCCGAGTTCCTGGGCAATCTGTACTTCACGCTTCAAATGGTGGCTGCCGGTTACTTCATACCTTCCACTCAAATGCCAGTCTACATAGGGTGGTTGAGGTGGATCACCCATACATTCTACACATTTGGCGCCCTTGCTGCAAACGAATGTATCGGCGCAGAAAGTCCCTCTGGCGTCGGCCAGTTCTACGACTGCCCTTATTCAAACAATCCCAGTGATCCATCCTGCAAACAATACACTGGTGCCTATATCATGGATAGTCTGGGCCTTCCACATAATTGGATCTGGAAACCAGTCGTTATCCTGTGCGCCATTGCGTCCATCTGCTATATTTGGGCTGGACTAATACTTCATTACAACCCTCTTAAACCAGTCACGGGCCACGCTGGCGAACGAGTTGAGAGCATTGACCCCCCGGAAATAAGATTCAGTCCCACTCCAAGTCCCCAGGCGATCGCGATCACCCTACAAGCATATGGACTTAAGGAAAAAGGGCAGTCGAGCAAACGTTCGAGTCTCCTCGGTCCAATTTCCACAGGTTTTCGTCCTGGGCGGCTTACTGCGGTAATGGGGGCTTCTGGGAGCGGAAAAACCACGCTTCTATCAGCACTGTCTGGGCGACTTGCGACTTCAACAAAAGCGAGGTACCAGTTTATTGGGTCTATCATGTATAACAATACCTGTCTACCGGAATACAAAGTAAGATTGGTTGCGTCTCTCGTTAATCATGCTGTTGCGTACATGCATATACGAAACAATAGTGAATATTTCCATGACAGATTGTTTCTGCCGACCGTGGGACTTAAATACTCACCATTTCAAACCCTCATGGGAGTTGAGCACAAAATGCAACTTACTTTCACAAAATGAAATATTCCCCTTCCCCACCGACCCCAATTTTTTCCCGTATGAGCTGCCGATGAACCTCCTAAATGTGGAGACATAAGTACCGTTGGGACCGTTAGACGTCTGTGTCAACTGGAAGTAAGGGTTATTATCATCGACTTTGGACAATCTATTACTTGAACTCTAATTTCCTGGCTTAATTTTCGTAGTCCACAAACTTTGTGTTGATGCCTATACCTGTCTGATCGACACTGATCGAAGCTCGGGTAATTTACCCGGCCATTCGGATGCGTGCCCTGAGATTACGGGAAATTCCGGCCATTCCCAAAGTTTCCTTCGTGCATGTCACGGAGTTTCATCATGAACGCCCGTGATAGACCTTAGAAAAACCGTAACAATTTTTGAGTACGTTTCGAGCTATAACGTATTTCCCTACAGAGCTGGCCACCCTAGAACACCATAGTAAAAGCGATAGATTACAACGTAGTATCACAACAACGGCAGGTTGGAGGGACTTTTCCTTAAAAACTAATGCTTTTTAGGTGGTATTAAGTTTCTAACGTCAGTTTAAAGAATTTCTATAACTTAGTAACTGAGATATAATCAGATATTTATATTTCTAGCTCCTAGCAACGTAATTTTCGATACCGTAACAATGTGGGTTTTGGGTTTCGTCAAAATTAGTATATAGTGTTGAAAAGCCTTATCAGTAGCTTTCGGCAAATAATTAAATAAAATAAAAACGTGGTTGTTGAGATACCAGTGTAGAATATATCGTATATTACTATGGTGTTTTGGGGTGGCCAGCTCGCTAGAGAAATACGTTATGTACTAGGCGAATGAATGTAAATGAAGGAGAGTATCCCTTCTCAAACTGAACATTGTGTGGTAAGATGCCGGACCTCTAAGATTTTATCTAGCAAGGATCTACCAGATTTATGAACAGTATGTCTGGATCCTAGCCATGAGCCCGTGCGAGGGCCAGCACTGGGAGGTTTTGTCTGCCGCGAACCCCCCCCCCCCCCACGAACACCTTGCGGCTGATACCGCATTCTGAGTTGCCGCATCCCGGCGCTTTGGTAATCATTCGTACGGAAAGAGACCATGATTTGAAAGGGCCAAAGACACGGGTGATGATTTAGAGCCATATGCATGCACGAAGTAGTCTAGACTCGCCTCCTTGTCGAGAGCCAGTACTTTCTAGATAGCCCCGAATCAACGTTTGGTCCCATATACATGACCAGACCTTGGAATGATATTGATATGTCTGGCAAATATGCCAGTGCTGGTTAGCGTGTCACCTCAGGCAAAAATGACGACTATGTCAGTCAAAATATAAAATCTATGGCAGACCCCACATGTTCACAGCTGTCTCCACAAACTAGGCGCAGGCAATCATGTCAGCCGACGAACTGGTAGACGAACTTCCTTTTACTCACTTTGTCCTCGTTCATTTCGATATGGATGACAAAGCTTGCCTAAAAGTTTCGCAGTCAGTTGCAAATGGATGGCAACCGATACGATCCGCGAACGTCAAACAGGCAATGCCCGGAATTGCCAAGACCAACTACTCATAACAGACAACCCAGTTGCCCCACGTTGGGATGCGATCAGGGACTGTGGAGCATGTGCAGAACTACGTCCCAGCGGCAACTTCCCTTCAGCATATTGCGTGGCCTATATACCAACAGCCATCGGCCGGCTTGCATACGGTATCCATCAACGACCAAGATCAATTAGCATTGTATTATACACAGGTCTTCGATAATCTACAACAGACAAATTGCCGAACCCGCAAAAGCCTATGTCAAGCTTGTAGAGCCTCGCAAGCAGATAAACTATCCATACAATGGACGAAAGGTCGTTGCAGGATCTCTAAAGCAATTTGGTCTTTAGACAACTAGACCACCATGGTGGCCTTTCGGTGTAACCCATCGGGAGCCAGATCATCTCCTTAAAGTTTGTAGGAGCTTCACCATCTTCTGTAAAGCAAATAATTGACAATAGAAAGAACGCATTCGACTTCTAGTTCACATCCTCTGCAACTTGATTATCAGTCATGGAATTACAGTCGCAAGGCTCCGAGAAGCCGATCAGCGGATTCGCTCTTCGATTTTCTCCACCCAAAGCACATTAGTAACTGCGATATTTATAACTTTCTATTCAACAACTATAAGTCCCTTTTACCTAGTTATTAGTTTAACGTTGTTTCTTAGCGTAAAACCCATATTATACTGATGTCAAGCTAATTCAATAATTATTTTTCAGCCTTACCAAAAGAAAACCTAGCGATATCGGCCCTAAATGCAAAGCTGGTGACCCCTATGCTGGGAGATGGAGAAGACCCTTCGATTCCCCAGCGTAAGCCCAGAAGAACTAGATGTATCTAATCTGCTCTCTTCTTCAAGGATTAGTTCATTCGCCTATTGAACATTGGTTTGCTCTACCAATATCCGTTTTCATCATCCCCTCTCTTGCCTAGTCTACCTAAGCCTTAAACATTTAGGTCGCACTCCGCTGGGAAACTACGTTTATTTAACGAAAGGGGAATTGATATCGACACATTTTGGATCACGCAAAAGCCAAAGATATGGAACGTAATTATAAGGCCTGTGAACCAATAACTTCACTCCACACTGATTGTCCGGTTACTGTAGAACAAGCAGATTATAATAGTTATCCAGTTGCACGCTGTTTAGACGTTCTTGGAGACAACCATTATATGTCAAACTATTCCCTTAGATATGCATATACGAAACATGCGCCGTAACCACTAAATGAAAGGTACGTTGGGCTCCCCGATAGGTTGGGAGTCACGACAGCGGCCAAGTAGCAGCAAGGGTGAAGTCAAAAGCGAGGGTGGTGAAAGTGGCCGGTTAATGGTGACAAACCTCATTCCAATGACATTGGCCGGTCGAGTTAGCTGAAACTCAGACTTGTTATTCCCAGGATCACCACACTTTATGAAGATGTGGTAAATTATGCATATGATTAGTTTGGCGATTGATGATTTTAGAGGTGTTTGCAAGGACTAATAATTTGGTCTCCAAAATATTGCCAGGAATGGGAAGAACGCCCACTATGTTCATTCAGTCATCATAGTACAAGCCATCCACGGTGAGTGCTCGTGTTAATCAGCCTTGGGAAGACGTAAGAGACAGTAGGATTAACTGGACTAAATTTGGAAAACAGACAGTCGAATGCATCGTAGTCTATCTTTAACAACTTCTGAAGGCCCAAACGGATATCGGGTGTGTGAAAGTAACAAAATCATAATTTAAAATAAAAGCATTAGACTGACCGAACCACAAACACTATTGCTACCTAAATTGTTGTTACATCATTAGAGCAAGCTCTTTTACATGGTGAGCTCGCGTTTGATCGGCCACTAACTTATTTGGACAACTGTCCGAGAATAGGGCTACCAAGGGATGGCCCGGGTGGGACAACCGAAGGTAGTTTTTCCCAAAGCTCACGAGCACATTATGACAGCCTGGGGAATGCGACCTTATAGCCCTTCTATACGCGATTGAATATTCATTTCTGCGGCCCTTTTTGAAAACAGAAGTCCGAGTCGCGACGCCTAATAGGTGTCCATACTCGGGCTAACAACACGTCGCCTGCTTATTCCTATAGCCTATAGAAAATATTCTCCTTGTGTGAAAGACGTTCTTTGAAGGGCGAAAAGAATGTATCTCTAAAGGGCGGATATGTGATATGCCTAATAAGTCAGAAGACATGCCTAAACATGGGCTCTTTCTTTGTTGAGGGTCCTAAATTCTTGTTTGAACATGAAGTACTTTGGTGGATCAAGGCCTATTTCTTTCCAGATCTAGTCCCTCTTCATCTCTGGTATGTTGCCGTGATCACCTTCCTGTTATATAAAAAAATGCGTATTATTCTTCTCAGCTTTCACTTTGCCATATTTAACCTGACCACTCTGCTTCAAATTAACTAACCAACTCAGCAAATCCGATCAAATCATATATTCCTTCATTGACTACGATTATCATAATGCTGCTACCTACTATTGCCACTCTCTGTGGCATCATCCCTGGCACTATTGCTGCACCCGGAAACGGCATCAACAACTTGCCTCCCAGCCAATCTGACCCTACGCTGCTTGACACTTCGTCTGACAGTCTCCATGGGATAGCAAAGACTGTCAACAACGGGCCTCCTACACATAACGGTTCGCCTTTCAAGGGATCAGACACTGGCCCTTGGCCTGGATATTCTTCCGTCCCTGTTTCTAGCGAGCTCAGTTTCTACATGTGCTGCCTACAAGGCCCTGCTTCTACAGGCATAGAGCTCTATTATCCCCCGTACGCCTGTATATTTGGACCGGCAACAGGAGCGTGCCCTCAGGGAGCCACCTCTTCATTTCGATATGCGTGGCTTTGCACATATCAGACTGGTGAAATTGGTAACATTGTAAGTATTCTGTTATTGATACGTTTGACGAGAATGACAAGATGGACTTACAATGAACTATATATAGGACTGCACTTATGAATCTGGCCCGGCTTCAAGCTCTGTTATTGCTGGAATTGCTACGGTCCTCAACCCTGTGCTGAATGCTGCTGGTAATATCCTAGGAGGTATTGGTCTATAACCTTAGACAAACCTCAGGGCGACTCGCGGGTGACCCTCATGGCCCTGAGACTGGATTCTGGTACCAACTGTCATTTTTACAACGACTGGACACGATTTGCCTCCTTCGAAGAAGCGGATAGCCTGGAGGCCACCGGGGATTGGGCATGATGGCCAAAGGGTTCGGCGGTACTTCGATATAGCAACACAGAGTTCTTTCACTTCTGATTGGTCACCGATGTTACGTACTCAGACAGCATGCGATGGATTGCCAAGTGTCGGATGTACCGGGCTTGGAATGTCGATCAGCCGTTGGGCGCGCGTAGGGGAACCTTGCATAACAGGAGTTCCACCAAGTGCCTCATAGAAGTAGTTGTACATTTGTTAGTATCCATGGCCTTTACAAAATCCCCTTACGGTGGCGCACGCACAGGACAAATGTAAGGTATGGAGAATATGTTGAGCTGAATGGTGTCAGGAAGAAGAAATCAGTAGATTGGCCCTTGAAAAGACCAGGGGCTTCCTAAGCACGCGTAAAAGAAAGGTTGTGACATCACTGTACGCGTGATCCCGTCGTTTCCGCTTTCCGTGATGTTTATCGTGTTAAAACGGTCAGGTTTCTTCCGGTCATCTCAGGCCGTGTTTCAATGGCTGGGATACTTTCCCGAGTGTCGACCTGCACCGTCCGAGCGGAAACATGCATATATCAAGATAAATTAGTGATTTATTGAGAATTGAGCAAAAGAATGGCCCGACCATAGTGCTCCTTGCGTCCTGGTGCAGCATTGTTGACGATATTAAACGGCCGAAACGGCGATTCGGAAAGCCAGACTACTCACCCCAGGTGTCTCTGGTCTGAAGAGTTGATCGGGCTTTTGATCGTATCTATTTCCGACCGATGCTCATTTTATGTGAGAAGCAGCTAGCTACTGGAAATCCTTGCCAACTGGTCATACCTTTATTTTCGTTGATTTGGCTTATCTTTTAAGAAGCTGATCGGTGATGGACAGAGCCCAGCCTTAAGAAGCTAGACTCAGACGAATGGGACGGCCCCGTGACAAAAGTACCTTTTTTGGAGGGGAGGGGAGGGGTGGCCTGAACCCTTGCGTTCGATCCTCAAACCGGGCATTAAGAACCTCTTTGCCTTTTGTGGTTTGGTTGAGGAGTGCAGATAAGCTGCAAGGTATATCATAGCAGGAGACGTGACAGAGGTTGCCATCCAAAAACTCTTTTTCATCTTTTAGAGGAGGTTGGTAGAGACATGAGAGGCGGATAGAGGGCCAAGAGTCGTTCAATCTCTGCTAATAGGGTTCGCAGCTCTTAGATAGATTAGAAAAAACCGTCGTAGCATCGGGGCGCTGAATCGATCGTTTCTCTATATGTCAGGGATCTGTTTTATACTAGTCATTTCTTAAAGACGAGTTTATTGTAATTTGTCGGAAGTGAGGGAAACCGTATTTCGAATACCCCATAGCAGCCAATTGGGTGGAAACAACTCTGAATTGCAAAACTAACTAGGCACAGGCAATTAGGATGGCAATCTGTTTACATAAGAAATCACGTGGTTTTCCATGGGGTTTAGCTTAGTCAAAGCATTTCTCTTCAATTCCGACATCAAAAAAATAGCACCACATTGCGTCCATCACCAGTTCGTCATTGGTTCGCCAAGTAAATGCATTAAGAGTATGTATACGTCTGAGTACCACTAGCCCCTCCAGGGCTTACAGCAGTGACTGAAACAGCTCCAGTGCCGGAAGGTGCAACTGCACTGATTGAGCTGTCACTAAGAATAGTGAACGCAGCTGGGTTGGCTCCAAAGAATATATCAGTGGCTGTTGTGAAACCCGTTCCAGTAAGAGTCACATTATTGCCACCAGCAATGGCTCCACCAGTAGGCGACAAGCTGGTAAGAGTCGGCGCGGCCACATATTGGAATATGGCGCCGTTGCTGGTGGCAGCAGTAGTATTAACTGTTACAGCGCTAGCCCCGGCTACTTCAGCAGGGGAGGTGGCGGTTACTGAGTTATCAGAGTTAACTGTAAAGGCTGTTGCTTCAGTTGCCCCAAAGTACACATCAAGGGTATCAATCAAGCCTGCCCCAGTGATGGTCACTGCGGTACCCCCTATAGTCGGCCCAGCAGTTGGAGTGATGGAACTAATAACTGGTGACGGCTGGAAGCTAAAGCTAAGTGAGCTGTCTGTACCGCCTGGGGTGGTAATGTTGATTGGAACTGTGCCAGCAAGATGTGCGGGTATGACAGCAGTTATATCACCATCATCAATAACTGAAATGCTAGTCGCGGGAGTAGTTCCGAATTTCACACTGGTAGTCCCTGTAAAACCAGTGCCGGTGATAGCGACACTGTCGCCTCCAGCCGTAACGCCTGTAGTGGGAAATACTTCTATAGGTGCGGGTGCTGCGATATAAGTATAATTAAATCCTGGGCTAGCACCAGCAGGAGTTGTGACTACTACAGGGGTAGTCCCAGCAGTACCTGGTGGAGTGACAACGTTTATAGTAGTGGGCGATAGGACAGTGAAAGAACTGGCTGCATTGCCAGCGAACGTAACTGCTGTGGCACTATTAAGATTCGTGCCACTGACGGTGACAGTGTTCCCACCCGATACCGGCCCGGACGCTGCTGGAGTAAGCCCTGTGATGGTAGGAGTTGGAGCGGCTGTATATGTATAGGTAGGGCCACCACTACTAGTACCGCCAGGTCCGGTGACATTAACAGAGACGGCGCCGCTACCCGGTGGAACAACCGCGTTGATCACTGTGCTGGAGGCCACAGTGAATGAAGTGGCTGCAGTTGAGCCAAACGCCACAGCCGTGGCGTTCGTGAAGCCAGTGCCGCTGATGACAGCAGTATTTCCGCCAGCAGCAGGGCCGTTATCAGGGCTCACACTGGTGGGGATAGGATCGGCTACCCCATTATAGGTGTATGGTAGAGTGCCACTGGTACCGGCTGCATTGGTCACACTGACCGTTGTGGCTCCTGCCGTACCTGCTGGAACGACCGCAGCAACTTGAGTAGCGGAAAGGACAGCGAAGCTGCTGGCAGGAGTAGAACCGAATGTGACACCAGTAGTATAGAGGAGATTTGTGCCGCTGATCGTAATCGTGTTCCCACCAGATGCTGGCCCGCTTGTTGGAGAAATAGAAGTAATAGCGGGAGCGGCGATAGTGGTATAAGTGAAGTTCACTGGTTGAGTAGTGGTACCACCTGAAGTGGTTACAAGAACCCGGGCTGCGCCAGCAGAATTTGCTGGGTTTGTGACAGAGATCGATGTTGCGCTGCTCGAGTTAATGGTGGCAGGAGTGCCACCAAACGTAACTGCCGAGGGGCTGGCAAGGTTTGTGCCAAAAATAATTACCGTCGTGCCACCGGTAGTAGGGCCGGAAGTAGGATTGATTCTAGTGATAGTAGGTGCGGACATCTTGATCCAAGAAAATAGAGTGTTGAGTTCAAAGAATTGCAGTTGCGGAAGTAAAAAAAAAGGTCACTGCTCCTTTCTTAAGTCGGACAGGCCTGAACTGAAGGGGAGTTGCTCCCTCTAAATACATATCACCCTAAATAGGGGAGCATAGTCATAACGATTATCCCAAAGGGATGTGCTGACCCCATTACTGTGGCCCTCCTATGTTCGATATGCACCTCGCCGAATCCAACACCATGACTATGCCATCGCCTGACGCTGGAGAAGGGTGTGCTGACCCCATGATTGTGACCCTCTTATGTTCGATATGCACCTCGCCGAATCCAACACCATGACTATGCCATCGCCTGACGCTGGAGAAGGGTGTGCTGACCCCATGATTGTGACCCTCTTATGTTCGATATGCACCTCGCCGAATCCAACACCATGACTATGCCATCGCCTGACGCTGGAGAAGGGTGTGCTGACCCCATGATTGTGACCCTCTTATGTTCGATATGCACCTCGCCGAATCCAACACCATGACTATGCCATCGCCTGACGCTGGAGAAGGGTGTGCTGACCCCATGATTGTGACCCTCTTATGTTCGATATGCACCTCGCCGAATCCAACACCATGACTATGCCATCGCCTGACGCTGGAGAAGGGTGTGCTGACCCCATGATTGTGACCCTCTTATGTTCGATATGCACCTCGCCGAATCCAACACCTTGACTGTGGCTTTTCTCCTGTTTGATATGCACCTCGCCGTATCCCCACACCGGGACTGTGCCATCATCTGATGCCGGGACAAGAATGTCCTTACCTGATGACCATGACGCCCAAGGTTTTGAATTTACGCATTCCTCCGACCTCCTGTAAGGGGCTGTTGTGATAGTCCCTTATGGATCCTCCTTTTCAAATTGATTTCTCGGCATGCCGCTGATCATGGTGAATAGAAATGTAAAAAAGATATTCTTGTAGATAGGTATTCTCGTCACCTACTTATGCTGTTAAATAAATTGGCAGTCTTCTCTGAAGTAAGATGGCAATTTCGGATGACTGTCCTCATTAAAGTGTTCATGAAATTGCTCAGAGGTACGACTAATAAATGGAATGAACCTCATATTCGGTCCTACAGGTCTAGTTAGCCTGGGCCTAAACTGCTGTATGCCGTTTGTTATCCTATTACTGCAAGTGCCAGCTGACGCGGGCAGTGATTGAATTCCCTGGAGTTCAGACCTTCTCCACTTAGAAAGCAAGCAGTGACCTTTCTCCCCTTCCGCAACTGCAATTCTTCGAACTCAACCCTCTGTTTTCTTGGATCAATATGTCCGCACCTACTATCACCAAAATCAATCCAACATCCGGCCCTGTTACTGGCGGGAATACAGCAGTCGTCAGCGGCTCCGGGTTCATATTCGCCACGTCTGTGAGGTTCGGCTCAACGGCTACCTCATTCACCGTGGTCTCCAGCACAGTGATAAACGCCGTGGTCCCGCCAGGTCCTGGCGCTGGCGGCAATGTCTCTGTCCTCGTTACTGGACCCGGTGGTACGAGTGCCGCCGGCACTACCTACACCTATGTAGCCGCTCCTGTCGTGAGCAGTGTGAGTCCTACCAGCGGCCCTGCAGCTGGCGGCAATACTGTATCCGTCAGTGGCTCTGGTTTCACGAATGCCACGTCTGTGAAATTCGGCTCAACTGCTGCCACCTCGTTTACCGTGGTCTCCAGCACAGTGATAAACGCCGTGGTCCCGCCAGGTCCTGGCGCTGGCGGTAATGTCTCTGTCCTCGTTACTGGACCCGGTGGTACGAGTGCCGCCGGCACTACCTACACCTATACTGCCACTTCAACTCCTACCATAACAGGGCTTATCCCCTCGACCGGGCCGGTATCCGGTGGGAATACTGTCACTATCATGGGCTCGAACCTCAATGGTGCCACTGCGGTTACGTTCGCTGGTACCCCAGCCAGTTCTTTCACAATATCATTACCCACTCAAGTGAATGCTGTGGCTCCACCAGGTACTGCTGGGACTGCCCTTGTAGTGGTCAGAACGCCTGCCGGTACTAGCGCAGGGTTCGAGTATACTTATATCGCAGCACCTGCACCGATGGCAGTGTTCCCTACCACAGGTGTTATAGCTGGCGGCGAAATAGTCACCATCGCCGGTACTGCCCTCTCGGGTACCACCAGTGTGAAATTTGGCACTACCCCTGCAGCTAGTTTTACAGTTGTCAGTGATACGGAAGTCAATGCTATCACACCAATGCACCTTGCTGGCACGGTTCCAATTAATATTACCACCGCAGGCGGTACAGATAGCTCGCTTAGCTTTAGCTTCCAGCCGTCACCGGTTATTAGTTCTATCACTCCAACTTCTGGCCCAACTGCGGGAGGAACTACGGTGACTATTACAGGGGCAGGATTGATTGATACCCTTGACGTCTACTTTGGGACAACCCTAACGACCTTTGGTATCAGCTCGGATAACACGGTAACTGCAACAACCCCTGCTGCTCCAGCAGGGGTTAGGGCTATAACAGTTAATACTGCTTCTGCCACTAGCAACGGCGCTATATTCCTATATGTCGATGGGCCGACACTTAATAGTGTATCTCCTACTGCTGGAGCTATTGCTGGTGGTAATAATGTGACTCTTACTGGAACGGGTTTCACGACAGCCACTAATGTCGTTTTTGGAGCTGACCCAGCTGTGTTCAGCGTCCTCAGCGACACCTTGATTAGTGTAGTTGCGCCTTCTGGCACTGGTGTGGTTTTAGTCACTGTTGTGAGCCCTGGAGGCACTAGTGGTACCCAGACGTATACTTACTCTTGAAGCATCCTGTTAGTGAAACATGATTTGGTTGGTCATGGGAGCAATGCGGACCTATTGTTTGGTCGTTTTTTTTCTTTTCTTTTCTGTTGCGCGGTATTTTTGCAATATTTAGAGAGAAGGTATGAATGGACCACATTAGTGACTGCAACACTGACTGCCCGCACAACCTCATAATAAGAAGTAGTACTACTCTTACTGGATCCGTCATTCACTATTCGCAGCAGAGTAAATGAAGTTCCACCCACTTACACAAGAACCCTACTAACCCCACCGAGGTGTAGGACACTTGTACAGGCATCTATGACTCAAGGGTGTTGAGACCGCGATGGTGTTTGAAGGTATCGAATGTGACGATCCCTGTTTCTAGCGCATTGTACGCGCCGATCGAGAACATGGACACAATCTGAATGATTAAGATGTTATCCATAGGAATGACGCCCTAAATATATTCCGGCCCGTCCCCCCCCCCCGGGGACGCGCTTAGAAAGGTCTTGGCGGGGGGGGACGAGTAAATACGTCCCCCCCCCCTAACTAGGTCACCCTGCTATATTTTTCGATCGGGCTTTTTGGAAGTTTGATTAGAATTATCTAAACTATCCTTCTATCAGGTTTAATAGGAAGATTTCTAGTAGGAAGGGTGAAACCCTAAGGGGTCTGATTTTGGTAGGGGATTTTTTGATGGGGTATGCCAAGACCAGGAGGGACGGGTAGTCTATACCCTTTTTGGCTAGCTTTCTAAGCCTAGGGTTTCTGCCTTAGCTATAAGGTATTCTAGGGCTTTAGGTAGAGAGTAGGGTTACTGTTTACTGGCTAACCACTAGAGCTAACTTAATCTAGTTTGGACTACTATATAGGTAAGCTTAGTGATTAGAGGTCTAGGAGGCTCTGATTATATAAGCCAGGTCTAAAGAGGTAGAAAATAGGATGAAAGAAGTCTAGAAATATTTTGTCTGCTGACTAATATTAATTTATATAGGGTGATAGAGGGGATTTTAGCGATTAGATTAATACTAGTATAGGCTAGGTTGACTAAGTGGTTACTGAGATATTGGCTGATAAATACTATAGTAGTAGAATATAGTGTACTTATAATAATAAGTAAGTAATTAGGCTAAATAGCTATAACTAGGCAGGGATATAAGAAAATAGAGATCAGATTAGATATTAATAAGAGAATAATTCAGAGACAGATTATAGAGAGATATATATTTCCGATTAGAGTTATTATATATATATAGCAAGACTATCAGTTCTAGGGGTTAGGTATAGAAGGTACAGGGTTTGGTCAATAATTATAGGGTTATCTAGACAGTAAGAAGACTCAGTAGGTAGCTAGGTAAATGTGGTATCTGATTAGATAGAGAAGGTATAAGGGTAGGTAAGATTATTAAAGGGTTATCTAGAAAGGAAGATTATAATAAGGGGCTGGCAGATAAGGGACAGGGCTTGGCTATAGCTATTTATGCTAAGCACTATCTGGTATAGTTAATCACTAAACCGCTACAGAGAGTATAGACTTAACCGCTAAACCGCTACCAAGGTTTAGAGATTCTACTCAGGGGCTAGGAGATAAGGGACAGGGCTTAGCTTATATATGTTAACCGCTAAACCGCTAAACCGCTACAGACCGCTATCTTAACCGCTAAACTGCTAAACCGCTACAGAGTATATAGTAAGTATAGCCGCTAAACCGCTACAGACCGCTACAGACCGCTATCTTATAAGTATAACCGCTAAACCGCTACCGAGTATGTGGTAAGTATAACCTAAGTATATTCCGGCCCTGTAGGGGGGGGGGTACTCATAGTTAAAAAAGTCTTGGCGGGGGGGGGGGTACACGATTTTCTTGCACCCCCCCCCCTAAGTAGGTCAACCCGCTATATTTTTCGATCGGGCTTTTTAGAAGTTTGATTAGAATTATCTAGGCTATCCTCCTATCAGGTTTAATAGGATAATTTCTAGTAGGAAGGGTCAAACCCTAAGGGGTCTGATTTTGGTAGATGATTTTTTGATGGGGTATGCCAAGACCAGGACCGACGGGTAGTCTATACCCTTTTTGGCCAGCTTTCTAAGCCTAGGGTTTCTGCCTTAGCTATAAGGTATTTAAGGGTTTTAGGGTCAAGAATAGGGTTGCTGCTTATTGGCTAACTACTAGAGCTAACTAAATCTGGTTTGTACTACTATATAGGTAAGCTAAGTAAGTAGGGGTATAGAGGGCTATGATTATATAAGCAGGATCTATAGAGGTAGAAAATAGTATAAAAGAGGTCTGGAAATTTTTAGTCTGCTGACTAATATTAATTTATATAGGGTGATAGAGGGGATTTTGGTGATCAGATTGATACTAGCATAAGCTAGGTTAGCCTAGTAGTTAGTGAGATATTAGTAAATAAATACTTCTATTATAGATATTACTGGGGGTTACTGTGGCCAGTTGTTATATGATACCTTATAGTATTTATCTATATATAGGAATATTAAAGTATAAGCTTTTATATTATAGTCTTTTTAGGCTAGTAGAAACAATATATAATAAGGTGAGGTACTAGGGGAGACGTACTAGGGCTAAGGTGCTGGGGGGAGAGCTGCCAGAGGTGAGGTGCTAGGGCTTAGGTGCCAGGGGTGAGGTACTAGAGGTGAGCTGCCACAGGTAGGCTGCCCGGGGAGAGGTCCTGGGGGAGAGGTGCTAGTGATAAGGTGCCCGAGGAGAGATGCCGGGGGTGAGGTGCCAGGGCTAAGCTGCCAGGGCTGAGCTGCCACAGATGAGCTGCCACAGATGAGCTGCCTGGGGAGAGGTGCTAGGGAAGAGGTGCTAGGGCTAAGGGGCTAGGGGTGATGTGCTAGGGCTGAGCTGCCACAGGTAGGCTGCCCGGGGAGAGGTCCTGGGGGAGAGGTGCTAGTGATAAGGTGCCCGAGGAGAGATGCTGGGGGAGAGGTGCTAGGGGTAAGGTGCCCGGGGAGAGGTGCTGGGGGAGAGCTGCTAGGGCTAAGGTGCCGGGGCTGAGCTGCCAGAGGTGAGGTGCTAGGGCTTAGGTGCCAGGGGTGAGGTACTAGAGGTGAGGTACTGGGGCTGAGCTGCCAGAGATAAGGTGCTAGAGCCTAGGTGCCAGGGGTGAGGTACTAGAGGTGAGGTACTAGTGCTAAGGTACTGGGGGTAAGCTGCCAGAGGTTAGGTGCTCGGGGAGAGGTGCTAGGGCTAAGGTGCCGGGGCTGAGCTGCCAGAGGTCAGCTGCCCGGGGAGATATGCCAGTGCTAGGGTGCCAGAGGTAAAGTGCCCGGGGTAAGGTACTAGGGCTAAGGTGCCCGGGGTGACCGGCCAGAGGTGAGGTGCCTGAGATAAGTAGCTAAGACAAACTAGTACTGGGTGGTGCTAGGGGGTACTGTTTCAAAATTTAGTTAAAGAATTAATTATTACTTTATTTATTTTAAAAATTATTATAATAGATTAACCAATTATAAGGGATCTTTATCCTATTACTAAGATAGTTAATAGATTAACTAATAGGCCACTAGATTAACTAATAGAGATCAGGCTAGCTATCTAATCCTAAGATCACTAGTACACATCAATTCACTAAGAAACTACCTAAACCCTAAAACCCTAGTCCCAGCCATGTATACTAAAATATGACAAAGCAAAGTAATAGAAAAATACTGCCCCCTCTATAACCTCTGTATCCCACCGCCATCCTTCTGTCTGAAAGTGATTAGGACGAAACCCCTTAGGCCACCAATCCTTATCAAAATAGGGCGTTTGTAGTAGATCAGCGTCACTCTGCCAAGTAGCCCTTGCACACGATAACCAAAGTACTATCAATAGCTGACTAGAAAAGCATATATCGCTATCAGTCCCTAAGGGGCCTTTACAGACCCTAGTAGGTAGATAGCATGTGAAACAGCACGTATTAGGCTTCGGGTCTATAGCTTCTCTCAATCTACTAATATTTATAGTATATTGAGTCTTAGCTAAGACCTCGCAGCTAGCTAGGGCGTGGCCTATAGCCTGCTGCCTAGTTTGGCTATCTTCTTCTGAAACTATATATATAGTTAGTATGGTAGTAGGGTAGTACTAGGTTAGTAGTAGGGTAGTAGTAGGGTAGTAGGATAGAGCACTTACCTAACCATCTAATAAAACAGATAGGGCACCGCTGTTCTGTCCAAAATTTCACCACACTAACAAGGAAGTCGATAGTTCCTAGATTCTGCCGCTGTTGGCTACTAACCCTAGTAACTACTACCGATTGCCTAATTAGGCGGTCAGAGCAGCGGTCACACTGTGCCCAGAGAGGATCACATACCTCTAGGGCTTCTCCATCAAAAACCCTAGAGATTACCCGGCGGCGGCAGATCTGATCAGTAAGATAGTGTTGGAAGAAGACCTTCTCTGCTGATGCCTGAGGCACTAGATCTGCCTGAGGCAGCTGATTCAACTGATAACGTTGTACTAGACAATAAGACCAAGCAGGCGAGCTAGGTGATCTACCAGCCCTACCTGACTCCTGCATAAGATTAGTTATCTCATATACACCAGGCATAAAGTGGATAACTAGATTCACATCAGGGAAATCATAGCCAGCACCAATACCACTAGTAGCTAGTAGGATAGAGGCCTCTTGCCGAAAGTGGTCTAGCTGACTGAGTTTTTCATCGTCTGATAGGCTAGCATGGAATCTAGCTGCCTGAGGCTGTAAGGCATCAAATAGCCTATCAACCAGCGCCTTCGTTCGGCAGAAGATAATAACCTTCACGTCTGCCCTTAGACCAAAGGGGCTATACTGGAGATTAAACTGTTTGATAAACTGGCTAATATAGCCAGGATATTCTGCCGCTGCTAGTGAGTCTGGAAGGGCCCTAACCCTATAGGTCATATGCTTCAGGGTAAGCTTAGCCCTAAGGATTTGGGGCTGTTTACCTAGTTGCAGCATTTGACAGAGCTCTTCCTCTAGGTGCCTAGGCAGGGTTGCTGAAGCAAATACCATAGGAGCCCTTAGGGCTAGGGC